TATATATGTATGTGTGTATACTGTATATATGTATGTGTGTATACTGTGTATATGTATGTGTGTATACTGTATGTATATGTATGTGTATATACTGTATGTATATGTATGTGTATATACTGTATGTATATGTATGTGTATATACTGTATGTATATGTGTGTATGTGTATATATATATGTGTATATATATATGTGTATATATATATGTATGTGTGTGTGTGTATATGGCTCTAGGAATGGTAATCTGTCGGTCGATTTGGCCTCTCCATCACTGTGGAAATATGTCAAACTATTGTCATGAAATCATTAAGCGCCATTATCAAAACAAAAAGGTCAATACTTTATCCCCATCAGTCAAGGCTGTACTTTCTGTTTAGTGCTATTTAGCAAGCATGCTAACATTGTCGTTGCGAGCCTGTTAGCATGCTGATGTTAGCATTTAGCTCAGAGCACCACTGAGCTGCCAGCTTGGCTCTTGCTTAATGCAACATTCAGTCAGTTGCTTTACAGGAAACGTGAAAACTCAACTGCAAAGGATTGGACATTTATCCAAATCAAAGGTCGAAAGACTGAAGGGGGTTGTTTACTGTGCGTTGACATGACTTGACACGTCCATCATAACCCTGTTGACTCCCGACTGCAGTCCTCAGTCAGTATTATCTGTTTGAAGGTTTCTGGGTGTACACACAGGAGGCTTATATGCTGATTTGACAACTCTACTTTGTCAACAAACTGATTGCCAGGCATATTGTCTGGCATACTGTCAAATGCTAGTCTGGTCTCCTGAGAATTGCTTTCCCATTCCCGTCTAATAATCTAATCATAGTACGCAAATGAGAGGTGGAAGGCCTCGCGCACGTGTTTCGGTTCATGAAGCGACCCCTTGAACGTGCAACTTCTAGCTGAACGCGCCTCTGGCTGTCTTAATTATGACAACTGTTGGAAATAGGAAGAGAACACATAGCTGTCCTTGTGAATGCCGCATTGTTTAGTTTTTCATTACAGTGTCATTGTGGTTTATGTGTGATGAAAAAGGAAAGGAGAAAGTTGAAATAATAAAGTTAAGTTAATACACATAATCGGAGCCTGTTTTGGGTAAACGCATGTCCTGTAGAATGACGTCACACCTGCCTCTACATGTAACTAGAAACTGTTGCTTAGGTTTTACAAAATGTTTGATTAGGTGTCTTTATCAAACTCAAGTTAATTGATAATATAATTAATATACCTAATATTTAGTCGCTATATGTGAAAGAACTACCATAACAAACAGCTTTTTGCACAGAAGTTCCTGTGAATGCCTTGTAGCTTGCTTAAATGTTGTTTTTGCGCCGTATTCTCTGACACATTACACAATAAAAATCACGTCACACCTGCCTCTACATGTAAATACACATTTTCTATTTTCCAAATGTTAGCTGAAGTGTCAGACGTTGCTCTGAAGCACAACCGACCATTGTAGCTTCACTCAACAACACACCTGCTCACACCTATAAATTAATTAGGTTAGGTCAAGGTGGACAGCAAGTTAGGCAGGCAGGTGCGCTGCACATGGTTTTTGATATGCTTCACCCCTTTTGATCCTGGACTTTTAGCCAAGAGGCCGCCGTTTGTGTCCTATGTGAAACACAAAATAAACATTAACTTCATCAGTCTTCCCAATTGTTCTAATACATGCTTTTAGATTTAATGTTTTGTTGTTTTGTCTTCATGTCAGTTCCTCACACACGGTCCACTTACTAGATTCCCCCCCCCCCCAGAGCTTTCAGCTGCAGCTATGGGCCTTCATCACAGGGGTTGGTGTCAATGATAATAATTTAGTTCATGTTGAAAGTCTGTGATTATTGTGAAATCAGCCAATTACTTGTTTTGTTTGCCACATACAGAATTTATCTTTATTATTATATTAATTTACAAAAAAAGACACCACTCTGTAAATAAACATTTACACTCACCTCTTGCCCTGGAATGGCATTCTCTGTGTTTCCAAACATATGGATCAATAATGACTAATCCTTCAAGAAAATAAAATAAACACTCTTAAGAAAGCTTCACATTCAGACCATTCAAGGCAGTCTGTGGGTGCATTGTTGTTTTTATTCAACATTAAACTGCCTTGTTTTTTATCTTTAGTTAAGGTTTTAATGAGAGAAACCTTTGGCCCAGAAAAGACATTCAACAACATGCGAACGATAGTGATAAGTGTCTGTAATAGCACCTGTGTGTGCTAACATGCAATGGCTATTAGATTCTTTCAACCGCCCCCCCCCCCCCCCCCCACCCACCCTCTCCTCCATCCTTCAATCAGCCCATTATCCTCTGCACATCCTTGACTATAATGTTCCTGAGGAGCTTGCCCAGCGGCCCCTGACGTTTCTTCATTCGCTTTTTCATAAAGCTGCCGTTGCGTTTAGAGGCCGGTGGGCTCCCCCATCGGAAGTGACTCATCCGATAGGCCGCATTCTTTCTCTCCTGCAGGCTCACCGGGACGTGTGACTTAAGGCTGACCCTTTGCAAACCTTGGTTTCGACTTCCTCCATTCAGATCCCTCACTTCATCATTGTTACTGCCCAGCTGCCTGCGAGCCTGAGGGGGGAAACTGCGCTCAGAAGGGCCCCCTCCCTCCAGAGAAGAGGCAAAAACCTTTACGGGTCGACGTTTACGGCCAGAGGGTTTGCCCCAGCGGAAATGCTCCATTGAATAGGAGCGTCGCTCGTCGCTGTGGGCTTTCAGATCCGACTCTGATATCTTGTTTTCGGACACCATGGTGGCCAGAATGACGCCGAGTAGGAGGTCATCATCATTATCATTCACCTTCAGGGCCATTGCACTGAGCTGAGGGAATTCAGACTGGATGGCAGACATGCAGAGGCGAATGCAGTCCTGCATGGAAGGAATCAAAGAAAAACCAGCAACATTTTAAGAGAAGAGTTGACAATGTGACACTAATGAGCACTTTTTATCGCTTTGATACTGAGTGTTCTGGAGCTTTCAATGATACACACACGCTTCCAAAGCAGATAGAGTTTGAAGAAGAACATTGAAAGCTCCGGGACGGCAACTACATGGATCTTGAGAGTCAAGAATGAACCTTGAAGCTCAAAATGTTACTTTTTATGCTATTTTACTTTGTCTTTTAGTCTGTTCACTGTAATGACTTTGAAATGACCCTGTGTGAAGTCTTTTATAGAAATACACCAGGCTTTGCCTAATGGCAGTGACAGAGAGGAAATGGATGGAGACAGTTTGACCTACCAGTATTCTTCCCTTGTTGCTCAGGTCGTTGCATTGGGATCTGCCCCAGCACACCGACCCAAAGCCGGGGACGCACACGTAAGCCATCACCACCACCAACAGCCAAGATAGATACATCATCTTCAGCCTGGCGTGGAGGACAGAAACACAAGTGAGGCTATGAGTTGAAAAGAAAGCAAAGCCACAGCAGGGGCACTCTCTTCAAAACATAGAAGAGGCTTCAATAACTCTACAGTCCTAACAGGCTCAAATAGTCACTTATTCTGCGAGACATTGTTAGTGTGTGAATAAATACAAGAAATGTCTCTGCAAAACACTTCCTTCGTACATATCTTTGAGGTTGTTTGTGGATTTGTAGTTTAGTGTCTCCAAACTGAATAGTAACTGAGCTCAAATACCATTCATCCACATTCCTCTTCCGACATCATGTGAGTCTTTGAACATATGGACTTGTTTATCAGTTGCATGTGAATCATATTGAAAAAAATGCCTTGAAAATGTGTGTGTTTGGTTAAGGTTTGTGGCTTTTAACCCAAAGGGACTGTTAGAAAATGATTTGGCCATGAAGTCGGGTTTGGAAAGGGAGGAGGAACACGCTTGGTTGTGTATATGTTCTAAGCGCAAGAAAACTATAAAGATTCTGTCCTGCTCCAGATTGATCTTTTCATTGATCTTTATCTTGCAAGATTTACTGTTAAATAATTACTGAAAACATTGACTTGTTCAAATTAAACAACAAAATAGTTACATGCACAAAAAATCACGTCTCTGTATTGGAACTTTACACATTTACCCTTCACAATTACAGGTGGAAGGGGGGGGGGGGCAGCATTTCACCTATACTATTGGGCCATACAGTCCAAATTTACGGGCAATAGTTATATGAAAAAGCCAACTAACAACAGGACAAGAATACGTCAAATACATACATTTCGTAAAATGAACCTGTGTATCTTTGGTGGTTAATGCCCTTGCACAGTTTGACAATATATGCAATCCGCTGGATTAGGCTGCACTTCTGTACTCGTGTTTACACACATAAATACCTCATCATTGTTTACAAACTGTAAAAGGGTCTACTGGTATTCCATGTATTTGCAATTACCTCCCTCTATGGTAGTTTTCATTGTTAGAGGCAGAGTCCGCCATTCCTGCACTGGATTTGAGTCGGCTTCACACACATGAAGGATACACAACACATGAGGTATGCATGTAATCCAGCTTCATTTTATCTCATTGCTATCGGCCTCAGTGTCACTGCGAACTGAGCATTGTCTACTGCTGCTGTCAATGTCAATCTCCATCTATCAAGCAGATGCCCTCAGACTCTCCCGACTGTCCCAGTCAGCTAACTCTTACTAACTCCCTGCTCACCTGTTTCCACCTCCCCTCATCAGCCCTGCAGCATATTAACGTTACATTTCCATTAACTTCCTGCCGCACTGTCAATGTTGCGTGCTCTTGCTTTCCAGCCACCTGAACCTCATAACTCTGAGAACTTTCTCCTGCCCCATTCCTGTTTACCTTACACCTGTCTCCAGCTACTTCAGTCTGTTTGGACTTGCAACCCGTATGCTTTTGTATTTGCAGTTTTTCAGTAAATCACTCTCGACTGCATTTGGGTCCTTCCCTTGTTGCCTTATACACAGCTGCTGCTTCACATTCAAATTATTCCATTGGTGAAAAATGGTGGTGGCTTTTTTTGAGAAGCTTCCACAGGAGTCGCAATTTGTTTGTCCCTTTGGTTTGGGCTAACGGTGATCAAACATGAGTCAATAAAGACATTTTCGTTTTTTGTTAGTTAGTAAAAGAAAGGCAAAAAAAGCCACGGAGCTGTAGTGTGGGAAACTACTTCCCACACAACCATCAGCACTAAATCAAATCACGGGTTAGCCTGGCGTGATGGAAAAAAGGTCAGATTGACTTTATTGTACAATGTGCATTTCCGACAGTTGAGCTGAACTATTAAGGCTTATAACTTTAACCCATAACATGCAAATGCAAATTCAAACCCAACCTGATTGTATGAAGAATGAATAGGAAATATTGCAGTGCTGAAAAATCTAAATGTCAGTGATGCTACTGATCATTTAGTGGCTCTTGGTACAAAATTAGAGCAGCTGTAATGTAATTCGGCAAACATGATACACCACTTATGTTTACAGTTTTGCCAAGTGATAATTACACTCCTAATGTGCAATTTGGACTGTGAATGATTGTTCCATGAACACATTAAACCTGAGATAATTGTGGCTGAGTTGAGGTGTTGAGGTGAAGGGAATAACCCAAAGCAATAATTAAAGTGTAACTTCACTCTCAGGTCTGAGCCACTGCATCATTTTGAAAAAGGCAAAAGCATGTTGGCTGTAGCAACTCAAAGTCAGCCAGCACCTCTGTCTCCAGAGTGTCCGTCTGCTCTCCTCTGGGCTGTATGGTCTCCTAGCAGTGGGGAGCAGGGACCCAGCAGCAGCCGCTGCCCACCAGCCCACTGATCCATCATCTGTTACCAGTGTTACGTTTGCATGAAAACATGGCAAGCTGGCGTTAATGCTTCATCTACACTCTATTGTCACATCGTAGGAAAGCACATCGCTATTGCCAGACAACCAGGATTGTGTAATGTGCTGATGGCTTAATCTCCAGTCACAGAAAGAAGAGAACAGGTTTGTGCTGTGGTTATAATGCATCAAAGTGGTTTCCGAAAAAAGTCAAAACGATAGGCGCTGTGGTGAGGTCAGAATTGGCCTTGCAAGATTAGGTCTGATTTAAAAGAGTAGATGGCGTTTTGAACCATTTTCAACCATGAAATGCTGATTTTTTGTTTTATAAATGTGGTGAGAAATGTCAATGTTAACACCAGCATCGATGTGTTTCATCACAGTAGGCTACAGTTATATCATTTAGTTTACAGCTTAAAAAAAATACGTTTGAGTGTGCAGTTACTCTTTAATGGCCCTGGGGAAGGTTTTAATTTGAAAAAAAAATCAAACAATACTTTCATCCCCCGTTCCCCACTGCAGTCATTTCCACACAGTCCCTAAACTACATTCCAGTTGGCTCTGAATGTAATGCAGGAAAAAAAAGAACCAGAATCAAAAAAAATGAAAGTGAATGCAGCAGTCCCTTTATATAGCTGTTCAAGGGCACACCAGAATGATGATGGTAGTGTTGGGAATAACATAGCCTGACAAAAAGGGGTTATCAGCAATATGTTGGGAACGTAAAGGAGCGTGTTTGGGTTATCAGCATCTAAGAAACTAAATTCTTGATATCAATAGAATTATTAATGTCAGTAACAATTATTGATTAATAATAATAACGGGGCACCACCCTGCGAACAGGGACCAATAACCAAACGATAAAACTAAGTCTCATAATTAGTGTTCACTCGCAATGTCAACAGTCTGAGTACTATTACACATTCAGAGTGAAAGTTTAAGTTCGAGCACAGACCACATATACAGCTATCATCACAATACACATGCACAAAGTAATCACAGACAGCTGCTCTTTAAAATATAACAGAGTTTATTACGTTCTAATACTAATGATCTAGTCAACTAATATCTAAACTAACAACTATACATTCATGAGCACGCTATCTAAAATCAACAGACGATTGAAAAGAGGGGGGGGGGGGGGGGGGGGGAGTGTGTGTGCGTAAGGGGGAGGAGCGAGGGAACAGCTCAGCGACGTCTGACGTAGTTGGGACGTAGTGACGTCTCTCATGCGTGAGACTCAAAAATGGCGGATAGCCAACAGGAGACCTGGCGTCTATACGTGCCGGTAGCCGTTTAGCACGTAGCTACATTAGCTCAAAGCTATATGTGTGTGTGTGTGGATTAGTAAAAGAGAAGGGAAAGGAACAAAACAAAATGAAATAAAACAAAAGATTAAGATCCTCTGGACCGCGCTGGAGTACGGAAGATTGCTCTCTCAGCCAGGGGAGCAAGAACCGCGACTCTTTGTCTCAGCCGGCGGTTCTGACCTCCTGAACTGATGAGAAGCAACTTCGACCTCACTGCGGCTGTCTCGACAGGAATCACGGTAGCATAGAATACACGCTAACTTCTACACAACACCAGCAATTTCAGGGATCGCCAGTGTCGGTGATCATAAAGCATATGCCACGTTATACAAATGAACAGTACTTTAAGCACACAAACAAGATAAAATAAACATAAATTAACTCTCTCTAACTCTGCCCAGAATCTATTTCGCCTGACAGTACGATGTAATCGTGTTGGTTGAGGGGGGGGTCTTCTGAGCTTCGTTGGGCTCAGGCAGCGCGGCTGCGGGCCGCGGGAGGTGTTCTCTCGGTAGGAGAGCATCGCTGTCGTCTGGATAAGGGCTTTTCGCGTCCTTATGGCCGGAGCAAACGAGGCGCTTGGTGGAGAGTGGAAGTTCTCTCTCTTTCTGAAGAAGTCTTGCTTCTTCACTTCTACAGGACTAAAAAGGGGTTCGCTTCGTGGATACGAACAAAGATAAAATAGACAGTTTGGTGAATTCGGCCAGCGAATATAAACTGTTAGACCTAGGATTTGATTAAAAAGAAGAACAACGTTGCATGTGTGCCTCCTGCTACCCCGGAGGGATCGATGGAAAAAGCATTGAGGTGGGGGTTGCAGGTAGTTTTGTAGAACAGTGGCTGAACCACATGGGTCCTGGGGTGTCTTGGCCCTCGGCCAATTAGATTGCAGCGCTGCTTTCCGGTAACTTCAGGAACGCATAGTTTTTTGGGGAACAGGGTCGTCTTACCGGAGGTCCCGCCTCGGTATCCCTGCTCTCGTCCAATGAGAGCAGCGTTGCATTTGGGGGGAGGAAACTCACACCCTAATGTGAATTTCTTCAGAGCTGGTGGTTTGGTGCTCAAACTACAATCAGGATGAAACCTTTGCTTGCAAAAGGCAAGGCCTGACTCTTTGTTCCACAGCACATGTCGAAGCCATATAGTCAGATCCCAACAGTAGTAACTTAGTACTGGAGTAAATAGGCTGTATTTCCACAGCTTAGTAACTGTAATAGGGAGCTCTGCAGCCAAACATTGAAAGGTCGGTGACTATTAAAAATGACCATTAAAGTTGCTTTGTGAGATAAGTGGAGCCAGCAAACGTTACTTTTTATGTTACTTCAAGGACCATGATCGATGGACATGGACGAATGAATGCAAGGAAACAGATTGCTATTGTTGGAGGCTGCATTCATATGGACCACGCATATATCAGGAGGGATATCTTCATACTTAGGTGATGACGAAGATCTACAAACAAATTCTTTCAAATGATGAATAATAGTTATGACGCATCTTGATCTGGCAAACACTCCTCCTGGTCTCTTTGCTGCTATGTGTATTACCTTTTGTCTCCTCCCATGCTCTCTCTTCCCATGTTTAAACATTTATGTAGAAAGCTATATTGTAGAAGCTATAAATAACATAGAAAATATAAACAAAATTGATACCTGGGTATACTACTTTTCTCTTTTACATTTTTCATTTTGGTGCAATGAGTTAATTTCCTTTCCTTTGTAGGGAAATTGCTTCTTGTTGTCTCTCCCTCCATCCTCTATTCTAAGGAGTGACTCCTTGGTGGGCCATCGTCTTTGTAACTCTGGCAGAGACTCTACACTCTTCCTACATTATGACTCACTGAGCGACGCGCTGCTCTCCACAGACATATTCAGCTGTGATTAAAATAGATTTAAACCGTGTGTGTTAATAAAATACGAAGTTTTTATTACTGTGTCTGTAAGCTAGATTTGTGTTTGTGGAGGTTTATGTTAATGGAAAGCAATTATTAAAGACAACATATTCTGCAAAAAGCTGAGGTGTGACTTTGAAATATAAATCCACTTTAACTATAATTCACAGAACAAATGCATCTGTACACGTCAGAAAATCCTAAATCAGTGAATGTGTGTCATCAATGCAATCAATAGTCCTTATCCGTTCAAAACAACAAGAAGCTAACAACAACAACCAGACGCAATTGAGATCCATGCCAAAACAAGAATCCACAAACAAGTTAAAGACATTAGTTTTGTTTTTTACCTTTTTCCAAAAGCGGTCCTCTCCTCTCTTCTTGTTTTTCTCCTTGTGTTTGTCCACAGATCTTCCAGAGTGGCGACTCTTAACTATGATCCCGCTCCTCCTCTTCTGTTCTCTGTCTGCTCTGTAATGAAATGCTCGGTAGGAGCGGGTCTGCTGCTTCCTCAGAGGAGGAAAGCTCTTTTTAAAGACGCATGAGTGGAGTTTGGAGTCTCAAGGCCTTGGGGAGTGATTAAGGTAAGGGGTTTCCTGCTCCTCTCTGGACGGGGAGGATTGTGTATTTGTGTGTAAGGTAGATAGGCCTATAGAGGCCACCCACACACTTTTTAATCAATGGTGCAGCTCACGTCACCACAACAACAGGTGAAGCCTTGGTGAACTACCTTGCTGCCCTCCCCCGTCTCCTCCTGCGTCTTCCTCTGGTTGCAATCTTACAAGACTCCTGAATGGGTGATTATTAGGATGTTTAAGAGCTCTCAGTTACATTTTTTTTGAATCCATGAAAAGGTCAGTGCCATGACGCCCAGAGGGACGTCCTTTCAAATGGGATGAGGAGCCGTGGTGAAGTGTTCAAATCAATTTGACGGATTGGATCGTTTTTCAGCGGTTCTTGTTTACAAGGTGTGCATGTATCCCTGTGTGGAAACTTCATTAGGGAGACCTGACTCACTTGTTTATACGTCATGACTACACAAACACACACACACACACACACAGCTGTACTCTGTTGTGCCCCTTGCTGATTCAGGTTGGCTGGAGGGCAAGAGGAGACAACAAGTGCCTGTTGTAAGAGACGCTGATTAATCACTTTTCTTTCAAAATACTGTCTATTTAGTTCATTTATCTCTTTCATTTTTGCATTGTCCTTGAAATATGTTCATTCATCCTGCCTGCAGTGTTTTTAAAAGGCCTAAGTGACTAAACAACGAGGAAGACTTGAATACAATTAAAGAAAAGTTTGTCTGTAGTTGATATGGCAACAAGTACCTGTTAAATTAATGTAAACTAGTGCAAAGTAGCGCGGTTACCATGCAAAGTAATCAAGGCTATTGTCTGATTTAAATGTATGAAAAGAAAATTGAGTTCTATGAATCTTATTAATTGGATTCTTTTTATCTTTTTAATTGGGACAATATCCTTTTCTTTCCCAGGAGGTCTTTTTCTTGTCAAATACAACAACAATAAAGGAAAAAGGACAACTGAGTCATGATATTGAGCACCCTTTTGTAATGACAACAGAGAATACGTGCCTCTAGGGTGAAGCCTTGTTCATGTTTCATCTGTTTTATATCATAACATAACCGAGTTCATCAAAAGGACAAAGAGGGTCTATTTCTCTTCCACGGTCTGTTTTCAGGGCTTCAGTGTGCTGCATGAATGAGAACAAAGGGTGCTTTTCCAAAGAGGTCTCTAGTGTTATCTCACCCAAATTAAATGTAAAAAACACATGTTAATGTTGTCCTCCGACAAATCGTCTAATAAATACTTCACATACCCCTTACAAAGGGAGTTTACTTTCTTGGAAATCACTTCGCTCCTCCTTCCAATGAGAATAAGTCATTCGCCTTTCCTTACGCATCTGATAGTCCGTTGATTTACTGTTATGCATTTTTTTTATGTAAAATGTGTTTTCTGGCATTTTATAATGCTCTGTTTGCATGACTCAAATGAAGTGTTGAGAAATATACATTTGTTTTCAAATTAAAAGTGCCGCTGTAACCCCACATTAAGAAAAAAGAGCTAATATTCGAATAAGGGGTGCATGATGATTCCAAAAAATATTTTATAGCGTGATGGTAGTAGAGTACAAATGGTTAAAAACAATAACGAGAGTGAGATTTCAGACCGGGACAGTCTGACGTGGAAGTAATTCTCTCTAATCTATTTAACCCACTTTACCTCCATGCGTCCAGCCTTCTGCAGATGGTGTTTGTTTTGCTCCTGCTTGTGAATTTGAGTCATTACTGGATATTAATGCTGAAACAAAAAGAGCATGCATGCTTAGCCACGTCTTCGATGGATAAATAAAGGTTAAAAAACAAAATGAGATGATGTAATTTCCTGTTGATGCTGCTGACTTCCACCGTTTAATAATAATGCAACCCCCGGACAAGGCTGTGCAGGGTGTGAATCACTGCCTTACAAAGACTGTACTGCCATTTAACCAACTGTCACAATAATATCATCGTCACATCCATCTGAGGAGGTTTTACAGACTGAAGGTCTCAACCAGTCATTTTCAGATCGCACCTTTGCAGATGGAATAACCAAGCTTTATGCTAATTTATGTATTTTTTCATCTTTGTCTAATGTGCAAGCTTATTTTGTTGCAAAAGGAGGAATTACCACTTTAATGTTAAGTATACTGACCATGTTTGTGCCATATCAGCACGATCTGGTATTTAAAGTTTCACCAATAGGTTTATTAAGGACAATGAGGTCACACTTGAGGACATCCTCCTCACTCATTTTCTCTTGGACTTTTGTCAGCCCCCACATCCTGACGAGCAGACTGTTTGACTGTCCTAAAGATAACATGCAACCTTTTTACTGTACGGCATCTTCCATTTGTGATGTCCTCTGTTGTGTTACAAGAGCATCTCAGCTCAGCCGTATGTCAATATTAGGGCTTGTTTACATTCCGCAAAAGGTTGAGAAAAGTCAGATTGTTTTGAAAAGCTCAATTTTTTTCCAACCATTCATGTGAGGCAGCTGTTTTTAATTTCAGGTTATCACGTTGGAAGAGCCTTTTAGAAAAGTTGAGTTTTTGTAAGCGGGTAAAGTCCGGCTTGGCGTGGATGAAAGAGCAAAACAAAGAGAGAGATGTGTGGTTGCAATATGCATTTACCGTGGCCAAGGCCTTAGCTGCATGGTATAGATGTAATCTGCATCTCCTCATATTGAAATGCTCTTCACAGTCTGGCAAAGCTTTACAAGTCTTTGAGTCTCAGGGCTTTATTACTCCTCTACCTCCCAAAACAAGAGCTGCTCTGGTTTGAAGCCAGACGCAAGGAAGCCTTGGGCAAACAGAAGGACTCTGCTTCCAACAAACACTTTACAGGCACCACTGAGGTGTAGATGTGTACATTAGTATTCTAGTTTATGATGTAGTATCACTTTAAATAAACCTACAAATTACTATTTTATTTGACTAATATTCACTAATCCTTTGTCATTTATTTCTCCAAAGTTCAGCCAATTCTTTTAACACTTATAATCTTCTTTCACCTTTTTCAGCTGTTCAATGCACGCAATGCGTTACACGTTTTCTCCATTACTGTATTTTCCTCGATGCTGCAGCCATGGCCGGTGGGTGCCCAGGTGTTGGAAAAAGTAATAAAGATTAGATTTTGACCAAGTGCCTCTCTTTGAGACAGGACCACATAAATGAATAATGTACTACACATCTCACTGTACTATGCACATTCTAAACACATTTGCATTTGATCACATTCTGTGTAAGTGTCACAAGGTGTGTGTGAATGTGTGTGTGGTTTGTCGGTCTGACTCCCTCGCTCTGTAGCCTGTGAGAATGTTCTTACTGTTAGCTGCTCGTGTTTAATGAGCAACACTTTTCCACTGTGGAAAGCAGCGAGATGATTGGTGCACCGTCTCGGAGCGGTGGGGCTTTCCCCTTGTTAAATATTCTCCTCTCAGCTAAGTACCTCTTCTTAATTCTACGTGATTGCAGAAATGATCGCGCTATAGCCTCCTTTTTGTACAGCCTTAAGGGGAGAAACACAGCTGAAATTGATCATAAACTTTGGGTCGAATAATCATTTGTGTGTTTGATTCATTGCTTTGCTTTGGCCACGTGGTTTCTTTTTGTTTAGGGTGTTGATTTGTTTGATTTGAACTCTGAAGTAATTCGACCCAATGTGGGGAGAGAACTTCTGGCTGTGCTCCTAAACTGGTTATTTAATAATAGATACTGTAGCGGACGTCCACCGAGAGATTATAAAACTGAAATGTCTACGAGACAACCTGAACTAATAAACTTCTTTCAGTAATTGCACTCAACTTATGGATCACTTGTCACTTTTACCATGTGCCTGCTGGACATACTCAGAGATAAGACTCAACATTCAAATTGTTAAGGCTGAGTCTATCATGTTTTATGACCCCATCTTTGTGGTTTTTACGATCATTCACATCATCCAATTGTTAATAAACTACTTAAAGAAACGGACCAACAGTAGGGGGGGGGGGGGGGTGTCCCCTGTACTTTGTGTCTGTGACCCCCAAACTCTTCCATGTGTTTGAGGGATCATGGTGTTCTTTTTAAAATGGGAGGAAATGAAGTTCTTGCTGCGGGGACATCCTGAGATTCAATGTAAAATGGCAATCGACGAATTTAAAGAATCAGTCAAAGATATGGGTCCCTGATTCTACCTGGTCACATGTAACCCTGTCCATTTAGTTGTGGTTCATTGTTATTCATTGTACTCTTCATCCTCATCTTTAGTCATACCTTTCTTTTTGTTTATTTGATCTTTTATTCATTTATTGAAATCAAATGATCAAATTCGATCATTTGATTTGTGTGTATATGTAAAATGATAGGTCCCTGTACAGCTTGAGAAGAGCCCTGCAGCAACCCTGAGATTAAGATTTAATTGATTAATATCAAATTTAGAAGTTTTCAAAATGTTTCTACAATTGGGTGGTGTCCAAATTTGAATTATATTCTGTTAGTTAAACTAACGGTGGCTTATTGCGTAAGCTAAGGACCATCTTTCTTTTATACAAATTTACAGGTTTATGAATGATAATTTGATTACTCATAATAGTTACATAAATCAATATTAATTAATTATTATTTATTAAATCTGCTACCAGCAACAACACTAAACGGAGGCATTAGTAAGAAATACGTAAGCAGAACAAATTCGAGATAACATAAGCAAGGGACACACGGTGAACTTGGGAGCTCAAAAGAGTTTGAAAAAACAAATTATTCACCCAATAATGAGCAAGAGAGGCGTGGATATATATTTATCTTTGGTCTCCAACAATATCTCATAAAGAGCTGAGTCTTTAGATATTCATTCAAACAAAACATTGAAGTCAGACAGGAGCCACCAATCAATAAAATCACACACTAATAGTGACTTGAGTGGCCTACTTATAGGTGTGTCGAAGCATCTAACGATAAATCTGACCAAAATGAAACTAGACAGCACACAGAAGTGTGCAAACAAAATACAGTTGCTCCACGTGAAATCCGTCGAATAAAACACCGGAGCTTACCCAAGTCTGACGCCAAGTAGAGTTGCAGATGTTAATAAATGCTGAAGACTATGTTAACCCCCTGTACCCCTGGACCTTCAAACCCACACTAAAGTTCCACATGTAACTTAAATGAAAATGATAAATACTGTCAATTTCATGAGCTGCCAGTCCGATATTTTTATGTTTTTCCTTATGTGTCCTTCTTGAATTTACAGGTTGTTATAAATAGTTTAATAAATCAAAACAGTCTGTGCTAATAACACCTATAGTGACTGCCTGGCCGCTTTTTGAAAAGTTTTCCCGTAAAATGATGTGTGGTTTGGTCTAAGTCGTGTCAGGTTTATTTATGCAGCTCTCCATCATAAGTACGTATCAAGTGGACAATACAAAGCATGGAAAACTAATTTACCTAAAGCTTCATGTCTCACTAACTTAAGACCAATAGAGCAGACATGGTTAAATTGCAAAGTTTATCAACCTCTCCCCTTCCCAGAGACTTACCACAGTGTGCAACAACTGACATTGCAAAATAATAGAGTGCACAATAACTTTGGCAATAAGAATGACCTAACCAAGAAAGCTTGTAAAATACAATATCTTCAGCCCTCTAGACTACTTCATGTGCACTTTACAAATATTTTATTTTTATAGGACGATGACAACAATAAATGCAGACACATAAATAAGGAAAAACCTATGTGCCCTACTGACTGTCTCAAAGCCGCCTTACTGTCAGGGAAGAAGAGCAATGGGTGTAAAACGAAGTCTCATAACAGCAATATCAGTGTTTAACACTCCCACAGCATCTCCCACAGGACACCGCAGGAAGCACAGTCCTCTGCCTGTTTCCAAAAGAGAAAGAAAAAAAAACCTATTGAGTGTATTTCAATACCCATACTACCTTACTATTTAGGATGCCAGAAAATGAAGTAGAATGTCCCAATACATACTATATCAAATGCAGAATTCCAAAAAATACCCGGATATCCGACTGCAGCCGGTCACATTTTGCAGTATGCAAGCCAGCATGCTTTTCTGGATATTCTGACCCACTATCCTCTGAGCAGATGGGGATACTTCATTCACATTGACTGAGCTGCTGAGAGAGCACGAACAGATGACAGCCTGATGACATCTTATTGACAGACAAAGTGGTATGTCCCAATTGTATGCATACTGCGTGCAACATTAGTACTTTGTACTTTGCGATTTGGAATGCAGCAATTGTTTCTCTTGGATCTATGGCTCGACCACTGGTCAGAGTAGATAGAGACACAGCCTCCAGTATCATTTTCTATAAGGGAGGTCTCTCAGACACTCTTACACTTATGTATTGTCCCTTATGTAATGTGTAAGGAAGCCTGGCCAGTGACTAAGGTAGTTGGAGGTAGATGCCAAAAACTTTGTCCAGGTATAACAAAAGGTATTTTATTGACACAAAGCTGGCACCATGCTATACAGGTAGTCACAAATATGAGCAAACACAAGAAAACAAAAAGATAACTTAATTTGACTTAGCAAAACTCTACTAATAAGCTGCTATAATGCTGTCGCCATAACTCAGCAATGTCGTCTGTTCCTGAAATTCCATCAACAGTGCATGGTGAAGAGGATAAATACAGTCTGTGCTTATTAGTATGAGATTTGCCACCTTTTTCTTTGCAATAGCTCAGCTGGTGTAAAATAAAACTAGAGTCAGCACATTTTCACATCTAACTAAACTAAATCAAAAGGGCTCCAGCTGCATGTGGTGAGGCACCAGTGTGTAGAATGTTTTCCAGCATGACCAGCCTTTATGGCACTGCATGATGTCTTCCAAAGTGCACTGTAGAGGGCACTTTGTCATGTTTCTACCTTAGGGGAATCTAAGACGGCACTTTTGCAGCAGTTTTTTCGGACATGGAGGCCCCAAGGGGAGCTGTCACTTTTCTAGTAACCTATTTAGAGTGGAATTCTGAGCGTGACGGCCTCTCTCCGTCTGATAGCAAAATGTGTGTAATACTGTCTGAATAATGCTCAATTCTGCCATTAAATTCTTGCAAGAATACACATTTGTTAGTGATGAAGCATGCGTCATCAAATATTTGTCTGAATTTCCAAAGTCTGGGCTTAAAGATAAAGATGAAATGTGACACTACAATTGCTTTAACCTCAAAGACATATAATTAATATATTGGTTTGTAAGGTTTTGTTATTAAAACAACTTTTATCCGGTTTAACTATTTTCGAAACTTTGTAACCGCATGTTTTTAAGTGTCCCTTATAATAATCATTGTGTGATAAATTGACATAATGGGTGCTGATTGCGGCTGCTGTAAGTTACATTTTAGACACAAGAGGCTGCAATTTGGCCAGAAATAAGTCAGGGTCGTCTTTATTCTGCTCGGGGTTGAATTGTTCTTTTTCACATGCTTTATGACTGGTCATCATGCAATTACATACATAAACACGAAGCAATTATTATCGTTGGTTGTTGAATATGTGTATTTTTCATAATATACATTTGTTTTCAACTAAATAAGTGCTGAAGAGTAACTTCCGAGAACCACAATAAGTTAAATATCTTTTCTTATTGAACATCACCCTCATCTCAAAGAGAACATTAAATACCTGTCTAATAAACTTGAAGGTAATTTCTTATTTCTTGTATTTTTTCACTCTCCTGTGGCTCCATTAAACATCCCAGTGATCCCCTTGCATGATACAGGGATTTATCATGTGCTGTGGTATTTATAGCTTGCTTTGAAAAACGTATAATGAGACCACTGTGGACTCTACCGAGGTCTCATAACAGCAGGACAGCAAGTGGGTGAGAGTATTCAGCAGCATATCAAATGACATTTTACTGAAAGATGACTAGTTTCAGTTTAAGGCATCGTTGTGAAAATAGAAACATTAAATTATTACAGCAACAAATGATCACCAGTATGTACGACCATATATACAAAATGTCAATGATAAATACTCTACTTACTTACCTACTTTACTGTTATACTAAAACTACTAACTACCACAGGGACAGATCCACCACTGAGAATAGAGGTCAATTCGACATGAGGGGTTTTTGAAGCCTGATTTCAAGATATTTGTTGAACTGAACATAGTGATGCTGTCCGACCAATTGGGAATAATTTTGTAATGTGGAGGCTTAAAAAACATTGTGTACGGAGATGTATAACTAACTAAACTAACTAAATAAAGGTTAAAATACAAATCAGAAAATGGCATTATTTGGCGGCACCTGCGTGAACAAGGGAAATATGGACCTTTTCTTACCACATACTACTTGTATTTCACAACCTACTGTAAGTTTACATAAAAGTATTAAAAATAAACGATATACTGTTTGAAATAAATTTGCCTATGCATAGCCTACTAAAGCCAACATGTTGTAAAAATGTATGTTATGCAAATAAATTGCCCCACCGTGGCTGTAACTCATCCCCGGCCAAAAGGCACAAAGGGGAGACATAAATATGTGAGGGGACCTCCTTTGTTCGACGTTTAGTCACCTCTGTGGCCCCTGTAAAACCATTAAACGAGGAGGACTTCTCCCAGGAGCCCAGCATTCCTCAGATTCCTCCGGTCTGATGTCAGAGCGGAGGGGAAGGCATCTGGACCAAATGCTGCCTTCATGGTCCCTCACATGGCTGCGACTTTTGAGCTCTACTCTATGTAGGGATTTTTCGCACTTTTTAATTGTTTTAGTGAAGATAATCAACATGTTTGTGCCTACATATTTTTTCACTCCAGCCTTTTTTGTTGTTGTAAACTTGCTTTCTTTTGACCAATTAGCAGCAAGGAGTTTTGCTGATGTATAATAGTGCGAGAGTGGGAATAAAATAAAATATACATATAGTTTGGGTTTTGGTAAATAACTTTTTCACTTGCTTGCTGACAGTTAGATGAAAATATCAATCAATACCTATTGATATTTAATATGCTAAATATGAAATTACAGCCAGCAGCCAGTTAGCTTAGCTTAGCATACAGACGGAAACAAGGTCAAACAGCTAATCTGGTTCTATCAATATAAACAAAATCAAAGTACCAGCACCTGTAAAGCCAGATAATTATTAACCTTAGTAAACAAAGTGTACAAATTAGAAGGCTATTTCCCAAAATGCCAAATGACTTTGACGGAAGTTTCTGTGTAATTAATGACTTTCACCATCAACTCCTCTTACACATCAAATCGCACACAAGTGTCTCCAGCTCTGTTGGCTTGTCTTAAAACAAAACTTGGCACACGGTCTCCCCGGTTGTGCAGCCTCATGGGAATTTCCTTATCTTAGCCCTTTTCCTGAGGCTAATTTGTAGGAAAAGCCAAAAAAATATCCATTAATTACCAATGAAGCAAAAGAAAAGTATGAAAATCCAATACATTCAGAAATATGTATTTTCTTCCTTACTATCCTTTATCCTCTTGTGGCTCCTTGGGGTTTCTTATGCGACCCTCCAAGAGGGTCCCGAACCATTGCTTTACGCCTCCTTACACGGAGACTCCAGATTCCAATATTTCCTGCTGCTCTTGAATGCAGCGTGTGGTACTCTCTCCCCCTGTCCTGAACTCCTCCATTGGGCTACAGGGACCACTACTATAAACATACCAAAGTCCATATACGCGAGAAGAAGACCACGTCGTAGCCATCCACGGCCGAGTTAAAGAACTTTTTCTAACTGGTTTTTTTCAGGACTTTTGTGCTCCGCGAAAAAAAACAAAGAAAACGGACTAAAACAAAACGTGGGAGTCAAAGCAGTGACAGGAGTGAGTTTGCGACTTTGTTGCGCTCGTATGATTCAAGAGTTTCTTTTGAGATTCCGTTCTTCTACATTGGGACCGTACTCCGAACAACAAAACGACATGTGGAATATTCTCTGTTCGCTGTGAGCTTCAACGCCTTCGAGCAAAGAGGAGTTTCTCCAGCGGGGGGGGGAGCAGAAAACGGCATGTAGCGCAGGATTAAGGGTGAGTTGTCTTGTTGCATAAAGAATAAAAAATCTCCTCCGGGAGAGAAGTGTGTTATGCTTTTGGTTGTTTCCAAAACCTCGAAACATTCTTGGAGTAGGGGAAAACTAATTTTTTCTTAAGCCTCAACGAGCAAATGTAGGCCAAATGGCTGGGCCACGTAGGGCAGACAGGGGATCACAAATATTCTCATGCTAACCCCCCCCCCGTCCTCCTCCAGATAAACATACATTAAAATACAGACCGGGCCCCCGATCCTCCTCTAGATAGGATGCGGACTGAGGTAACTGAAGAACTAAACAACCTGCAGGTGACAGCGTGAAATTCCACCTCCATTCAGAACAGCCTAAAACATTCAGTTTAGGCCTCCCGAAGTTGTATTGATACACTTAAAGGTACTTTATGGAGCCCTCTGCAGGACCCTCCCCTTAGGATCCAGTTTGGACATCCCTTGGGGAGGCAAATGCGCACATGCCGGGCAAAGTTTACACCACCTGGATGATCTACATCCTACTACTACTACTACTACTACTACTACTACTACTACTACTAGTGTACACTGAAAACAACCTGCATCAACAGAAGCTTGTTGACCTTTTGAGTGGACGATGCATGGGTCGCTCAGGTAGGAACAAGAGACTGAAGCGGTGCACACGCGTGTGTCTCAGAGGTGACTTATGGTTTTTTACGTGATGGGTTAAATGAGCCTGGTGATGATGTCATTATCACTTTTGTTTGCCCTGCTCACACCCTGTGTGCGCACTGAGCATAAATGTTTGTGTGAGAGTATGTTAAAAAGATGTGTTTGGACATGCAGCTTGGACTACCATCCATTACTGTAAAAAAAGAAAAGAGGAGAGTTATGTAAAGGCAAATATAGCATAGCTGCAGGAGGCGTAGGCCGTACACACACACACACACACACACACACATATATACATACACATCTGGCTGTCTTTATAAGCTCAAAGGCATGCTGTGTAAATTATATGGTGCCAGAGCAAGTGGCTTGGGAGTACACACCACTTTTAAAACACTGGTGGAGAATTTAAAGAACCAAAAGTCAGAGTTGTATGTTCCGCCTTCATCCATGCTTCTCCTCACCTCACTGTGAGGCTTGTTTAAGAGGACGAGCGGGTTAAACATCTAATATATGTTTTTAATTCCTCCCACAAAGGAATGTTGCCGTCCACCTCCTGTTCTGTCTTATTTGAAAACATCCCGAAGGCATGTTTTGTTTATGTGCAGCATGGTAAGATTATAACAAGTGTTTACTGCATAATGCAAGCCTGCATATAAAAGGAAAAGTGGCTATTGTTTGTGTAGCCAGTGGTCATGAGGCCATTTGTGGAGCAAACATACCTTTCATTTTGGTCAGGAAGAGAGGGAGGGAGAAAGGTTTTTGTTTTTGTTGTTATTGTCGTAGCAGTTTAACTGAAGGCCAAGCAATGTACAGGATTCCTTCAAAGTCATATCGTGGTTATTGAAAGGTTTTTGAAATGATGAAAGGCAACTTTTGCAAACCGTTTATTGTTATAGATTTGTCATAATTATATCATCCTAAACCCTAATTCTATCCCGTTAATATGGACAAGGTGATAATGTATTATGATAATTGATCGTTTTTCAATTGAATAGCGGGATGAAATCCTGTATTGAGTTTATTATACACAGTGACGTTTTCTCAATTAATAATAAGCACATACTAATTCAGATTTCACAGAAATGGATTATTTAATCTTTAGATAAAGCTAAATTGCCCAAAATGTGGTGGTTCTAGCTTCTCCAATGTAAGGGTTTCCTATTTTCATCATTGTAAATTAAATATATTTCAGTTTTTTGACTGTTGTTCGCCCCAAACAAGCAACTTTAAGACGTCAGCTTTGGCTGTAGGATATTGTGACGGGCATTTTTCACCTTTTTCTGACATTTTATAATCAACACATTAATTGCTAATGCCATGAGTTGCAGCCGTTAATGCAATTATTCCTCATGATTGGCATGTCAGTTGTCTAATCATAAAACAAATAGCCATTCATATAAACAATATATTAATCTCAGTTTTAGGAAAAGCGGTATTTAAAAACATATTCATAAAAAAGTCACACTAATAACATGAAACAATGTCAAACACAATAATGTGCAAACTGGGTTAATGTCTGTGACTGTAATCAGCAACTTGTGTGTGTGTGTTTATTGAGTGTATCGAGACTTGCCGAGATGCTTTTGTCAGAGTTGTGTAAGTGCTGTGCTCTCTGGCAGCCCGGCTGACAACAACAGAGCAGACGGCATGCCGCGACTTGCCCAACTCTCCCACACTCCACCATAGGCACCTTCCAGGTGCTAGTCAATCACTGCTGGCCCCGCCCCCTTAAAACAAGGTCAGAGCCCTCGCTCTCCGATGACTTTTGAGTATTTTGTGAGGAAGTGTGTATGCGATTGAGCCCACTTCTCTTTTCTCCAAATAGAGCATCAAGCAGAGACATTTTCCATTTGATCTCCAGTTTAAAAACGTGCGAGTTTCTCCTTCCCTCACGGCCATTATGTGTGTTGTATACAGCCGGATGTAAGCAGTAGCAAACTGTTGCTGCTTTCACAGGCCTGTAAACTCCCTGCCGTTGAGGTCCCCTGTTAGTGTTGGTGCCTCTGGGTTCAGCTGTGAGAAAACACTCGGTGGCTTTTTGGTGATTGAGCGTGTGTGTCTGGAGTTTGTGCGTATGGTTGTGTGAGTGTGATGTGGTTCCCAGGAGGGGAGGGGGCATGGAAAATGTGAACAGCACCGCGGTTTGGCTGGAACAGACGCGGTGGCCCGACGGTTGATGGTCCTGTGTTTCTGTTGTTGAGGTGGAGAGAGCCTCCGCTATCAGCCCCGCTCTCCGTCACTCCCTCGCTCCATCCTCCCTTCAGCCCCCCCCCCCCCACCCACCCTCTCGTCCTGACCAACTGTACCAACACGATAAGAGCCTGAGAAACACCGCTGGTGCACTTCTTCTCCCCTTCATGCCCCGTTCCACATATCCTCGCTTATCTTGAGCCTTTATTTTCTCAACCGGGTGTTGGGACACTCACTGCACTCTTTCTCTCAATCATATCTCCAAACTCTCCTTGCCTTCCATGTCATCAATCTCCCAGTTTTCACTGCCACAGGATGAGTCGGCAGCGCTATGTCATCGTTGGTTTGGAAAACCAACCACTGTGTGAAGCTGTATCCCTCTTTGATCCTCTCCCTCTTCATGTTCTAGTGACAGTGTTTAGATGGCTACGCCGGCCTGAAACGTGGGGCATTCCCTATCTGTTACTGTCAACTGGCACAGTGATGCAGCACGACAACACATATTTCTATTATATTCCTGCAGTTCCTTTTCTACAATGATATTTATGGGTGTGCATGCTGTCGGACACATTCACTATCAATAATGTTAAAAAAAAATCGCATCATTCACCTTTTTTATGGAGACTGGAGCAGATTAAATAAAGCGGCATCTTTTTAGATTTGTAGTGATTTTGTCATTGCACACCCTCATGTCTCCTACTTCTGTCTACACTCATAATAACTCTGTCCATCAACTGTTGCATTTGTAAGAAAGTACAGGTACTGCTATCAGGCCTGAAAAGCTGGATCGTTGCATCCCCAATGTAAGACCTTCAGTTTTTGCAAAAATGTTTGAACTCCATCTTCCTCAACACTCAGTCGGGTACCAAAATGTGAAGAGATGCCTCTTTTTGCACAGGAGGGTACAAGGAATATGCAACATACAAAGCACATGGGCCTTGAATCAGGATTTCAGGCCAAGCTATCGTGTATGTTTTCAGAACAATCCTAAATGCATGCCATTTTCAAATAGGACTTGATGTTGCATTGTTTGATGGTAGCAGATATTCACAGTGTGAAATGTCTGTTAACTCAGCTGCTTAATGAATTCAAAAGATTGAAATATATGTGAGTTTTGCTTAAAATTTTAAGTGAGGCTTTGATGATTTCTACCCCCAGTTTAACCCCTTGATCTGTGCAGGTGTGTGTGTGTGTGTGTGATGGAGATGGATGGGGAGACAGTGAAGGAGAGCGTGTGTGTGTGTGTGTGTGCGCGTGTGTGTGTGAGTGAGAGCGACTGTGTCAAGCTACAGACAAGGCTCCTTCACTGTCTGGATGTCACCTCTGTGCGAACACTCTGCGCTGTGTGTTTGTAACCGTCGCTCTGCTCTCATGTAGTAGAGAGAACGTGTGCATGCGTGTGTGTGTTTGGTTGTGTCTTTGTCTCAGAGATGGAGCGAGAGAGAGAGACAGAGGAAAATAAGAGAGCTGGAAAGTGAGGAAACAGATGCGCTTGTTAGAAACACACTGTCTGACCGCCTGGCTCCACCATCTGTTTGCAGCTGCTAATGTTTGTGTGTGACAGACAGTACGTCGTGTGTGTGTGTGTGCAGGACTGTGTGGAAGCAAGCATAAAGTATATAATGGAAAATCTAAGTTCATTCCTTTTAAGTCGAGGAAACGTAAAGGCATAGTCTTCTGTGTGTTTTTTAAAGAATGAAAGTACACACACACACATGCATGGCCAGAGTGTCAGATAACAGAGCGCCCAGATGGAGTGTCCTTCTGCCCCTGAGGCATGCTGGGAGAACGATTGCTATGTACAGCGGAGGCATGTTCATCTACTGTTTGGGTCTTTTCTCATTAAGGAAAAGATTACACAGTTTGTGTTTTACTGCCCAGTGGATTGGGCAGCAAGGTTCAGTCAGGTCAAGTCTGATCCAGGGTCAGCTCCCAGTATCTGCTGTTTCTCAGACAGACTTCGGCTGTATGTATCCAGGAATGTGTGCAGACTTCACAGCCTTATTACCCCAAAACATCTCTCCAGTGAGCTCGTCTTAGCTCCACGGTAAGCCAGTGGGGCAAAAGAGGATCAAAGTCCTAAGAAGATTTTTTTTGGGGGGAAACATGAGACCAAATCTGTCTGTTTCGGAGAAGATGTTTTCTTATGTTCTGGCTCTGGTTGGTC